TTCCCTCTCTTCTGCATCCTTCACTGGACCCCAGAGGGTTCGTCTGGCATCCAGAGCTGACCCCGTCCCTGTCCTGCTCACGGCCCCGCCCTGCGACCCCACCACCCTCGGGACAAAGTCCCGCCCGCTCGGCCCGGTGCGTGGAGACCTTCGGCACGCGGAGCAGGATCGGCCCGTGGGAATAGAATGCTCGTGCGCTTTACGGTTTTCCAGTGGTCTCAGGCAAACACACAAACAGAAAAAGAGACACGGCAGGAGTCCGCTGTCACGTTTCACTTAACACGTGCGAAACACCGCCGCTCCAACATGAACCCGGAGACACTTGGCCTTCCGATTTCTTCGCGCGATTCGCATTTAGAGTCGGGCGTGTCTTCTCCACGCGGACGGCTCGTCTCGGGCGGGAGCCGCCGTGGCCAGTGGCCACTGTGCCGCCCGGTGCGGCCCTGCCCGCTTCTCTCGCCCGGCTCCAGCCATGGAGATGATCTCGAGGTTCCCTGAACCGTGCCGTGCCCTCTGACCTCTAGGCCTTCGCCCACGCGACTCCCCGTTCCCAGAAGGCTCTCCTCACCTTCTCCCGACTCATCCTTCGAGTCTTGGCGTGGAAGCCTTCTCGGAACGCCGCCCGATTTCCACCCGCTGCGGTCGGGTTAGTCACCCACCTAGGTGCCCACGGCCGGTGCCTCCTTCACGTCAGCCTGCACCATGACCCCCTGAGTCACGTCCATGTCCGGGGGACTCCTTCAGGGCAGGCACTCGGGCTGACTCACCTGCGTGTCCCAGGCCCCCGGGCGCACGGGACCCGGCCCAGGGGAAGCCTTAGGAAATGTTGACCAGGTGACTAAATGACTCCATCACCCCCCACTCCCATCTCACAGATAAGAAAACCAAGGCTCAGCGAGAGGAGGAAGTTAATTGCTGGGTGTCGAAAATCTAGGAAGTGGTGGAGCCCAAAACGGCGGGGGGCGGGGGGCACGATCCATCTGTCCTCAGCGAGTCCCCCCCGGGGAACGGGGGAAGGCAGTATGGATGGGCGGGTTTGGGAGGAATTTTTGAGAGCCCCTTGAGGAAGCGGGGAGGTGGCAGGCGGTCGGGGAGGGGGGACCTTCTAAGAGAGAAGGTGAAGTCCCCAACTCCAGGCACTCCCCAGAAACCGTCTTGGCTTTGTCCTCCCTACAAGCCACACACGCTTCCTTACTTACATCCTTACTTACATATGGGGTGTTTTTCTCCCAAGTGACGCACTCTGCCAAGTCTTCCATAAAGGAAATGTTTGTGGAGGAAACTTGACGAGAACATAATCAGGACAAAGGGACAGAAGTCACAGAGTGACGAACAAAAAAACCCAACAGGCGTTGCAGGCTTGTTCCGTGTTGGAAAATGTTCTAGCGCTTTCTGGGTGTTAAACTGATTTATCTTCCTAACAAACAGCCCCGGGGATCGGGTGCCACTTCTGTCACTGCAGAGACGAAGCAGCTGGGGCGAGGTGGCAATGTGCTCAAAGCAAGTCGCTTATGGGCACCAGCCTGGGACGGGAACCCGCGAGGCCCCGTTTCTACAATGACTGCTTTTTAACTACTATGCCGTCCGGTCCACCCACAGAAAAACGAAGTTAATTTTTAAACGATTCGACAAGAAGACTATCTCAAGTCACGGCAAACCAACTCACCCCCAGGAGGGATGCAGGGCTAGGCGTCTCCAGCCCTACAAAGAGCAGCCGCCGTGTTTTGTTACTTTGTCAAGATGTAGATTGAATATTGATTTGGGATGGCTTCCTGGGGGAAGGGGAAGTTGGTGGAGCCTTATGGGTGTGGGTGGCCAAAAACTCTAGACATTCTTTCAACTTGACACCGATCCAAGGGCAAGAGGAAGCTGGGGGTCCAGACCTCCGGGTCTTCAAGGAAGGAGCTTGGAGCCTTGGCTCTCATTTTATTTTTTCTTTTTTTTGTGGGAGGAGGAGTCTCAGCCGCCTCTGTGCAGGAAATCGGTGCCTGCAGAGTGTCTGCAATATGAGAAAAGAAGGCGAGCAGAGGCCAAGGGAGACTCAAGGGGGAGACGAGATGAAGAGAGGAAGGATCTGGAAGATGTTGGCCAGAGGGAATTCTGAGAGAGAAACTGGACAGGCAGGTACAGGTCATGAATCCTGGCTGGCGAGGATCGCTGTGTCAGCAGTCTGAGGTGTGACTGCCCAGGGAGCCTCTGATAGCAGACGGCCGGGGGGGTGTGAGCGGGCTCTGAGTCACTGGGACTCCTCCCTCCTCCCTCCTCCCTTCCACAGGCCCTTCCCCGCCTGCTTTGAGAACAGCAGCCACCTACCCGGCTTCCTCTCCCACCCGGGTCGATGGGTGGGCACTTGTGGCAAGCCCTTGTGGGACCCCCCGTGTTCCCTCTACGGCCAGCCCTCTCCTTTTCGAAAACCTCCTCCTCCTCTCCTAGTTTGTCACCTGGGAAAGGCTCAGAACCATTTCACATCCTTTTGTACCCTGATGAAGTAGCATGTCTTTCCTTCCTGCCTTCTTCTCCTCACCGCCCCCCGCCGCCCCCAGCTCTTCAGAGACCCCACGTGTATCGTCCGCTCACGAAAGTGCACAGGCACAGAAAGAGAAGTGGAGGGAAGGACGCACCCCATGCAGCCTGCCACACGTTCTTTCAACTTTTATTCTGTGAATATTTCATTTTGCACGGCGAAGATCGCAGGCGTGTCTGTGTCTGTCTCTTCCTTTCTTCATTTAACATCAGGTAGCATAAACGGTCTCTCGAGACACTCACAACGCTGCACGATTGTTATCCTGAACGGCTTCACGTATGTCCTTGTCACAAATCAGTTTCTGGTTTACTTAAACAATCCGCTAATTTGGGACATGTTCGGTGTTTCCACGGTTTCGCCATGACAAATAAGGTTTTGAAGAATTAAAACTTTGCCCACGTTTTGGATTTACTAGAATTACTGGGTCAAAGGGGGGTGAATAAGGCGCTAGATCAATCTTGCCCAACCGCCTTCTGTAACCATTGTACCAATTTACAGTTCCAGTGATGGAGGTTGCTGGTCTCACCGCATCTTCACCAGCATTGAGGTGTTTGTATTTCTTATTTTGATCTTAAGGGTTTTTTTTGTTGTTGTTAATTTAATTGGTTTATGCACATGTTGTTGAGGTTCCGATAAGACTTTAAGGAAGGTAAAGTCAAATAGACCCATAGGTCATTGACATCCTCTTTTCGGTGGCTGTCCTGTCGAGGGAGTGCGGATGGAGAGATGGGAGTTTGGACAATCAGCGATGCTTTCTTATGGTCTGGTTTATCCAGTCTGTGTACTTGCAGACCTGGGTGTAGACACCTGGGTCGTTGGGTTGGCCACAAGGGAAAGTTCCCCAGGACACCAGGCCTTGCAGGGTGCCTTTGCATATCAGTGGTCCCCCGGAGTCGCCCTGGAGGACAAAGAGAGTAGATTAACTTCGGCTTCACACCTGCCAGCCCCGAGTCTCATACATCCCTCAACTCCCAGGTCTTTGTCCTGCCAGACCCCAGTCTTCCACGCTGGCCAATAGGAAGAGACCTATTGTCTCTGCGGACCAAGGAGAGAGCAAGAAGTTTGCTAACCCCGGAGAGGACACTCCTGGTTCTCTGAAGACATTGGATGGAGCCTCGGCCAATGGACCAATCACAGGGAGGGGGCGGGGCTTCTGGGAGTCAGCGCCACCATGAGACCTTCTGGGCCAAGCCAGTGGGAAAAGGAGCCTCATCCCCAAGGAATGGACACACGCCCCTTACTCAGGGAAGGGGGCAGGATTGTCCTGGAAACCAAGAGAAGGACCGACCACCTAATTCACAGCCCCAGTGCAAAATAAAAGTGCGCCCCCCCCCGCCCGTTCCAGAGTTATGAATTGCAAGAGGGCAAGAGGCGTTAAACCAAGTGTGGGGCTGTCCTGAGTGTGGGGCTTCGCGTCCCTGCACAGCCTGTACGTTCATGCATCAGGCCCGCCCTCGGGGAAAAGGCAAACCCCGCCCCCCATCTCTACAGCGCACTCCCCTGTCCCCTCGCACACACCAACCCTGCAGAGAGAGGCGGAGAGGGACAAGGGGGAGGAGGGCAGGAGAGAAACATGGACGGGGTGGGGATTGAGGCAAAGATGGAGGGAAATAAAACGAACTCTCTCTTTCCCCAGAACCAGGGTCCGGGTGAGGTAAGATATTAGCCTTGGCCCGAAATTTCAGCGATGGCAATAAATACTATTTTAATGTAATACTGAAATAATTGAATTTAATATGAAAAAAGTCCATGACAAACACAGTATCTGAATTTTAGGCACTGTACTGTACTGGGCTGAACCACACGGGAGCCCGAGGCAAATGGAAAATCCAGTAACACTGACCTCTCTTTATTAAAAATTTTGTTCATTGTGGATTTTTTGCATGGCCTTTAAAACAATACTGCATTAGAATACGTTGATCTTGGTCACTGAGTTTTCGGCACCCCCTTAAAGTCTGGGCTCGTGGCCAGGGCCTCACTCCCCTTCCTGAGTCTTGTCTCCATCTTTCCCAGTCCCTTCCCTTCATCCATGTGTCCGTGCCCAGGGCCACACCAGCCCCCACGGCCCCGACTCTGACGCAGACGGAGAAGTGGGTGGGGGGAGCCAGGAAAGCAGAACTAGGAGGGTGAGGGAAGGCTCAGCACCAGGGCCAGGCCCCCAGATCCCCCAGGCCCAGGGGAGAGAAAGGAGGCGGGGGGCCGAGGCCCCGGAGTGGGGTGCGGGGCGGGGGAGGGGGCTCTCACATTGCAGGCGTTGGTCTTGGAGTTGGGGATCCCTGCACACAGCATGGATTTTCCCAGCAGGTCCTTGTAAACCTTCCTGCACGCCTCGTCGGAGATGAGCTTGACATCCGTGCACATGAGCTCCTTGGGAAAGGTCACTGGTGGGGGACAGGGCAGGTCAGTTAGAGGCCTGGGCCAGGAGTCACCTGGGTGTTAATGGGGAGAGGATCTGGAAAAGGGGTCACGAAAAGGGGACTAACATCTAGAACCCTGGGTCTGAGGGAGGACAGCCCGGGGACCCGGACTTTAGGTTCTGGGGGGGAGGGGGCCAATGCCCAGGGCTCCCGGGTCGCTGAGCCGTCTCACCGGTAGGGCTGGTGGTGGTGCCCCAGCCAGAAACGGTGCACGTGGTCCCAGGGGGCTCACAGCGGGTGGGAAGGTTGACTTTCTTCACCGTGGATGACAGCCTGGCCCGGCTACTTAGCTTCACGAGCATGATGTCGTTGACGTGCGTTTGCCTGGAGTACTCTGGATGGACGAACGACCGGGTGGCCCTGATCCTCTGCGCTCTCCAACTGCTCAGTCTATCGTTGCCCATGAACACGTTGTATTCACTGGGAGAAGAGAGACCCTGTGACTGCGGGAGGGAGGGACAGGAACCCATAACGGGGGACAGGGACCCGGGGACAGGAGATGGAGACCCGGGGGAGAGTGAAAGCTGCCGCCACCTGCCTCATCTTGCAGTGGGCGGCGGTGAGCACCCACATCTCGTTGACCAGCACGCCGCCGCAGTGGAGTTGATTGCCCTTGAGCAGGGCCACTTGCCAGGGATGGGAGCCCTCTGTACATGGGACTCCATCAATAATCCTATCGCTTTCATCTCGGTCTAGATGGAGACATGGAGAAGGATCGCTTTTCTCTCGGTCTGGATGGGGACATGGAGAAGGACCTGGGCTGCGAGCATCCGGCCTCGGAGCAAAGCCGAGGCATCAGCGGATGGATTCGCAGAGACAGAGCTGGGGAGAGGCGGGAGGAGGCGGAAACAGAGAGCGGCGCGCAGGCGCTGCAGGTGCGCGCGCGGAGGGATCGAGGGAGCCTGCTCAGGAGCCCAGGGGAGCGTCTGCTCTGGACGCGACCCGATCGAGAACAGGGGCGCAGGCAGAAGAGGCTCTCATCCTCATGGGAGGAAGCTGCTGCAGGGGAGGGGTCCTGACTCAGGGACCCCTTGGGAAGGCCAGGTGGGAACGCTGCCTGCCCGGGGGTCAGGTCAGGCCTCCCAGTCCAGCCCTTACCTTGTGCAGCAAATCCCAGGGCTAAGGTCAGCAGCAGGATCGCCGCGGACAGGGGTCCTGCCATTGGCCTCTGACTCTGTGGGGCTGCCAGGCAGAATAAAGGTGTCTTCTGCTGGGGCTGGAAAGGCTGAAGAGTTCAGAAAACAAGAGTCCTGGCCTGCAGCCCCTCCCCCGTCAGACTCAGGAGCCCATCCGCTAAGCCCGACCCCCCTCAGACGCGGGCTTCGGGCCCCCAGACTACCTTCGCCTGGGGACCCGGGGATTTGGCCTCCCAGCCCTCCCCACCGTAAGTCTGTATGTCCAATCCCTTTTCTCCCAAGAGCCCGCAAGTTTCAGACTTCCTCTCCCTGGAATCCCCCCACCCCCCATCCCGCCCCAGCTCAGCGTTAGGAGTCAGTTGTCCAGCCAGCCTCACTCCCCGCCCCACTCCTCACCTGGGGAGGGTCTGATCTGATCTGGGATCCAGACTCGGTCCGAAGCCAAGCACGTCCAGCCCTGCGCAGGGCGGCCCTCTTATACACCCCTACCCCCGCCCCCAGCACCTGCGGTGCAGGTGGAGCCGGCTCTGGGACGCCCCCTTCCTGCACTTGCGGTTATCCGGAACCCCTGAGGCAGCGAAAGCAGTTGGCCGGCACCCTCCCTCTCCCTCCGCCCTCCCTACTGGGGCCGGGTGGGGGTGGTACCCAGCCGGTCCGACCGCGCACATTCTGGCCCTGGTCGCAGCGACCCAGCGAGGGCAGGACCGGCGCTGGCTCTGGCTCTGAGGGGCAGGGCTCAGGAATGGGCTTCGGGCCCTGGTCCTCCTCCGTGGCCATGCTTCTTGCCTTCACCCCCTGTCTCAGGGGTAACCCAGACCCTGCGCCCTAACTCTGACCAGCTGGTGGGAACTCGTCCGGCCTGAATCCTATTGGTGTCTTTGAGCCTGAACTCGACCTCAACCGGATTTTATGGGGGTAGGAGTGAGCAAGAGGCGGCTTTCCTACCTCCGCGCACCGAAGCCTTACTGTTCTCCCAGCGTGCGTTCTCACGTTATACGCACATTCCTACGTATATCACGTGTGGACAACAAAATGTGTGGACTAAACGTTTATGTCACCTTTTATTTACTCTATACAATATCTTGAACAAGATATTGTTCAAGATACTGTTCGACTATCGCATAATATTCTGCTACCGTTTTATTCTGATTTATGTCATCCGTTTCAGATTCAAGTCCATTTGAGAAGTTTGAATGCTAATAATGCCGGAAGGAATTTCCTTGTCTATTTGTCTTCGCTCATGATATTCCTTCGAGAAGTGTCCACCGAGCATTTTCTCTGTGCCGGAAACGATTCTGGCCACGGGGGACACCAGTTTCAACAAAACATCGAAAATACCCTCTTACAGGCTTTCATTCTAGTGGGCGGAGCCCTTGAAAAATAAGTACACAAAATACAGTTTGTTAGGTGGCAGTAAGGGCTACCAAGGAAAATAAGACCATGAAATGGGACAGGGAATTGATTATGGGTCACTTCTGCTCTTGGGACCTGTGGGTTATAATATGAGGGGAAGTTGGAGAGACTCGACGTGAAGATAACATTTGATCAAAACCTTAAAGGAGGTGGCGGATGGGTTCACATGGCTACTTGGTGGCAGTGAGGTTCAGACACAGCGAACAGGCAGGTGAGCGGGCAAGGGGTGACCTAGACTGTTCTCGCAGGGAAGGCCTTTTGACTGTCGCTGGATGAGCAAAGGGGAGACGGGTGGGCAGAGGTGTCAGGAACATAACAGGGCTCAGATGACACAGGGCCTTGAGAACCAGCGTTGGACTTGGGCCTTTTCGTTGAGTGAGATGGGACCCATTGTCTGATTATTGCTCGAAGGCAAATTCCTAAAAGTGGGGTTGAGCCCCACTTCGAAATCGGACCCTAAAATGTGACCCCTTCCTCATCTCTGAGTCCGAATCCTATCCCACTCCTGACACCTAACTCAAGTCTACCTTTGTCCCATAATTCGACCTATCGTAGACAGTGTTGTTGCCTACCCAAGCCTTCTCTCCTTCTGCCCTTCCATCGGGAACTAGATTTTGTTTGGATAATCTTGTATCCTCATCGTGACCACAAAGAAGGCTTACTGCGCCGAGCACGGGAGCCACACAATGCTCGCCGGTGACGCCTCGTGGTGCTCCTGGCCAGTGAGGATGGGGGAGAAGACCACTGGGCCACTTCTAAAAGACACTAAAAGAATTATTATTTTTTTCACTCTGTTAGATGGTGTCCCCGCTGGATGTAAATTCTGGAAGTGAGGCAGCCCTCCTGGGACCACGGAGGGAGGTGGCTGGTGGACCAAGGCGTAGCTCTGCAGACGGCCAAACTGAGGTGGACATAACCCGGGTCTTCGAGGAGGCTGCTGAGCTGGGGAACTAACCCTCCACGGATCCCCTTTCTTTCATTTATTTTTGGTTTCCGCAGTCAAAATCTTTCCACTAAGACCTCAACATAGAGCTCGAATCTCAAGTCAGACCCCACATCTGATCTTAAACCATGAACCTGAATCCAACTGTCACTGGAATCTCTCTCTGGAACCCCAATAGCCAACCAAGCCAACCCCACATCCAGTGCTAGCTCTGCCTCCAGCCCTCCTCCCACACCCTTTCTCAGACCCGGTCCTTTGTACACTTAAGAAATACGCCCTGAGCACCAGCTGTCTACCAGGCGGGGCTAGGTGCTGAAGATATGGTAGCACGAAGGTGGACAGAGTCCCCTCCTTCGAGGAACCGAAAGTCAAGTGCAGAAGAAGAAATACAATGCCGAGAGCGGAAAGGACAGGAAGCACGACCCGGAAGAAAATGGAAGGGGCGTGGAGTCTGCGTTGTGTAGAGGAAACGGCACGTGCAGAGGTCCCGAGGTGGAAGGGACACATGGGTGGGGGTCAGAGAACACAGGCTGGCTGGAAGCAGGGGAGGACGGGCCTTGTAGGTCGCGGCGAGCTCGCCTTTGTCTTGTAGACGATGGCGGACCACTTACTTGGACTTCAGTCAGGCGAGTGGCATAACAAGATCTGTCTTTTCAGAATATCAACCCGGCTGCTGTGTGAAGGATGGAATTTTAAGGGGATGGGGAGGCATGAGGAGGCCACCGCTGTCGTTCAGACGAGAGGTGATGGTGATGCGGACCAGGCCCTTCGGGAGGTGGAGATGGCGATGAGGGTGTGGATGGATTCAAGAGGCTTTCAGGAGAGGACGTCGACAAGCCTCAGCGATGAGTTGCGTGGACATCATGGCGAGAGAGGGTGAGGTTTTAGGAAGGCAGGGTCTCTCTCCTGCTTGGTGGTCATGGCTAGATGGGGTCATGAGCTTGTGCCGGGCCGAGAAAGTCCTCAGACCTGGCTCCCACCACAGTTCTAATTCCAATCTTTGCTCTGACATGACTCTCAACACCAATCTCGACACGAGCCCGAGGCTTAGCTGGAATCCTCAGCTGATACCTAATCGTAACCTTCGGTTATGATTTATCCTTGACCAGGTTCAATTTATACCTCGACGTGGTATCTACTTCCCGATCAAGCTCCTGACCTCAAATACCTACTCGAGCTACAACTCACACCTCACTCAGCCTTCACCCTGACTCTCGACTTGGGCCCCGAACCCCCAAACTATAAGCCAAACACTAGATGTCACCGTAGGCTCAGTTCCGAAGCTGGCCCCACACACGCCTCAGACTTCAGTCTCCGCCCATCATATTCCAGGAAGCCCACACCGACATCCTTGCCACGTACCCACCTCCGACTCACGTCTGACACCGATCTTAGCATGCTAGCCCCAATCCCAGCTTTTCCCTCAGCCCAAGACAATTTCTACCTTCATCAACTCTACACGCCACCTGGATTCATCTGTTCACAAAACTTGCAAAATAAAGTCTATTAACGAACACTATACCCGAGTGGATCCCATACTGAGCAAATAAATCCAAGTTAAGTTCCTAAGCTGGGAACGTGGGCGGGCACCTAGCAGTCACGGAATCCACCCACCGAATGGAGAAGCTTCTATTTCTTGTACCTGCTGTGCGTGATGTGTCGGGAGCTTCTCGGACCTTGCCGCTATTCCTTATCTACGTTCAAGTCGGCGCTGTGTTCTCCATTTTTATAGATGAGAAAAGGGCAGTTTAAAGAGTTTAGGTCGCTTGAGCAAAGTCATTCAGGTCAGGAGGCAGAAGGGGCAGAATTCGAATGCTGGGGATTCTCACGGCATCGCCATGGCATAAACCCACACTCTGCGAAAGAAGTATTTCCGGGACACCCCCACACACCTTTAGAGACTCACGTGACTGAAAACAGGTCCAGAACCTCATGGGCCTATTAATTATGCATACCTCCACGTTGGCGAGAACCCCGAGTCCTGACCCTCCCAGGCCAACGAGAACCCCGCTTCCTCCCTAGAAATAATGACTGATCCAAGAAGTGGGCTCTGGTCAAGCTTGACCAACCAGAGTTCTCCCCTGGGATTCACGTCAAGACGCTAGAAGAAAGGAAAGCTTTGTTTCTGCTGCGTGTGCTTCGCTGGGTCTGTCTGGAGCTGCTGTGTTCCCTCCACGTGTACACAGGCTAAATGAGATCCACAGGAGGGGAAAGATGCAAGAGATGAGAAGCAGCCTCACGCCTACGGGAGAGGGAAACAGAGAAGGCCAGGCTGAGTGAGGGAGGGAAAAAAAAGTGTCCCGGGCCACGTGTACACAGGCTAAATGAGATCCACAGGAGGAGGAAAGATGCAAGAGATGAGAAGCAGCCTCATGCCTACGGGAGAGGGAAACAGAGAGGGCCAGGCTGAGTGAGGGAGGGAAAAAAAGTGACAGAAAGAGAGCCGATTGGCTTACGTCACTGTTTCAAGAGATTCTGGTCCCCACGTCACTTCCTCTGACACCATGAGCCTTCTTGGCCACCTAAGCGGCCGATACTCTCTCACGCTGAGGCTCCGACACTCGGTCCTCAAAGCCCCCTAACTAAGGCAGAAATGAGCTCCCTGTCTACGTGGGTCCTTCCGGCTTCGGTCCGTGCCTGGGGCTTCGGTCCCCTGCCAGATTCCATAGGCCACAGTTCTATTCTGGACTTTCCGGTTGACCTTGGACACCGGAAATCCATCTTCAAGTCCTCTATGGTTTATATTCCATGGGGGACATTTAAATATCGCCTAGATATTGGGCGATATGAAGGAATTATTATTAACTCTGTAAGGCCTGATAATGTAAATTGGTTATGTATTTATTTATTTTAATCTGTCTTTTAGGGTGGGGGTTGGTAAACTTTTTCCATAGAGGGCCAGAGAGCAAATATTTTAATTTCTGTGGATCAGGAGACAAAATCAAGGTTATTATGCAAGTATTTATATACCAAGAAAGAATATTATTTTTAATCGACATTATTCAAAATATGGTAGTAACCATTGACTACAAATTTTCATCATACGGGTCTATTTTTAGCTCTTGGGATTTGGCCCGCCGGCCCTCGTCCACTAACTGCTGTTTCAGAAATACGTAATGACATATTTAAGAAGGAAATGATGGCTCAGACTTGCTCCCAAAATATTGCAGTGTTAGGAGGTTGTTTGGGAGTATGAGCAGAGGTAGAATTGGTTTCGCATTTCGTCCACCGTTAAGCTGGCCAGTAACGTGCGAGGGTTCACTATGCCCTTCTGTTTTATGTAGGTTTGAAATTTTCCATCATAAACATTATGCGACGATTCTTTCAGGTGAGGTGACCCTTGAGTGGCCCCTCCAGAAACACATCCCTTGCCACCGAGAGTTTACGTATGAAAAACATCCTCAGGACTTCCGGTATTGGGGGGTTTTCATGGAGGATCAAGGAGGCCGACGTAGGCAAGGCACTTCACACACCCACAGCCCTCGTGGGGAACCGGACGGCCGTGTCTCATAGCACACGACTCCCAATGGCCCTTGATTGGATAGGACTGGTCACCTGTCTAGAGTGCAGTCACCCCACCGGCTGAAGGAGAAAAGTTGAGTTGGACCAACTGGATTTTCTTTCATGAGAATATCATCTGAGAGATCCTGAGAGAGAGTCGCTG